AGAAAAATCAACCAAAAAAATGAGTTCACGTGTCACCTCTGACACGCGTGTCATACATAGGTTCGCCATCACTGGTCTAGATGGTCTCTGCTGGCCCTGCTTTGATCCGCTGAGAGGCCCAGTGACACAGGCCTCTCTCGGGCCTCTCCTCCCTCCTCCCCTCAATCCAGAGCACCAGAGATTTCCAGTCCAATCCCCAGCCCAATCTGCCACCAGCCCTGCAGATTCTCCCCTCCAGGTCTCTCTAGAATCCAGCCCTTCTTCTCTGGTCTCACTGCCACCCCCACTCTTCCTGTGGGTTAAAATCCCAGCCCTGGCTCCCTCCTGGTAGCCCTCGTGACTGTGCTGGAGTAGAGCTGAACTCACCAGGTGTGGTCCAGCGAGCATGCTGCTCCCTGGGCCTGCACCACACCTTGACTTGACCTTCACCTGGCTAACTCCAGCTCAGCCCCCAGAGTGCAGCTGGGATGCCACCCCCCTCAGGAAGCCTCCCTTAACTCCCCAAATCGCCAGGCAACCCGTGACTCCCGGGTCCAGGTCTGCATCCCCCAGTGGCCCTCCTTGAGGACCAGGATTATATCTGCCTCACAGCCACTTCCCTGAGCAGTTCCCGAGTCTCCAGGAGGCCCAGGGAATATGGTTAAATCAATGGTGAAGGGAGGAGTTGGTCAGAGGGGCCTCTGACGTGTCTCCTGCCTTCCTGGCTCCATCTGCCTCTTGGCTTTGAAGGCACTCTGTGCCCACTTCTCTCTGACTTCCTCCTTCGCTTTGGGAGGTGTGGTGGGCAGCTGGGTGGGGCTGGAGGTGGATTCTACCGCAGGTTCTCACTGAGTTAAAGGGGGAGATCAAAGACTAGCAGAGGGCCCAAAGCAGCCACTCTGTGCTGTCTCCCCTCGGTGTCCCTCTCTGTTTTTCTCATCTCTTTTGGAAGAACCCTGTCGCAAGGCTACAGGTCCCTGACCTCCTGTCTAGGCACAACCCAGTTCCCCTGGGGTTCGGGGCTGGATGGAGCATCTCCTCCATTCCTTACAGCAGCCCCTCCTCATGCCCTCTCCTCTCTCCCCTCTCCTCTCAACTCCTCCCTCCAGCTTCCTCCAGCTCCTTCACTTGCCTGAGCCAGTCGGTGGCCCCCTGAACACGCAGGGCCAGCAGGAGGAAGGGATTCCAAGAGATTCCTGAAGCAGGAGTGGGGTGGGGTGGGGTGGAAGGGCGGGCTGGTCTCCCTGACTCACCCACCGG